GCCGCCGCTCCGGCGGGGCCGCGGGGCGGGCGCGCTCCCCGAGCCGGGCCGGGCCGGGCCGGGCCGCTGACGGGGCGTGTTGCTGTGCCGCAGGAGGAAGCGGAGGAGTACGCGCGGCTCAGCCCGGAGGAGCAGCAGCGTCGGCTGAAGAACATCGTGAAGAAAATCGACGCGGACGCGGACGGGCTGCTCAGCGAGGGTAACGACGGGGGCCGGGAGGGCCGGGTTGCTCCGGGCGGAAAACGCGCTCTACCCGTGACACAGCCCGTGGCTCTTGTGCTGGCGAGAATTCCTGTGGAAAACATCACGATCCCTTGCACAGTGAGTTAGAAACACTTACAGGCTCATATAGAGGCTATCTCCGTGCCTAAGGCTTCTGTTTGACTCCAGAAGAGACCACTGAGAGGGGACCTCACTGATAGGTGTAAATACCTAAAGGAAGGGCGCTAAGAGGATGGAGCCAGGCTCTGCTTGGTGATGCCAACTACTTGGACAGGAGGCAGTGAACAGAAGCTCATGCTCAGGAAATTCCACCACAATATGAGGAAGAACTTCTTTCCTGTGCAGCGATTGTGCATTGGCACAGATTGCCCAGAGAGGTTGTGGAGTCTCCCTCACTGGAGGTACTCAAGAACCTTCTGGACACAATCCTATGCCATGGTGCTCTGGGATGACCCTGCTTCAGCTAGGAGGTTGGACCAGATGACCCACTGTGGTTGCTTCCAACCTGACCCATTCTGTGATGGAAGGAGTGTGGCCAGCAAGAGTTAGTGTAGGTCAGAGCAGTATCAAGTTGAAGGTACCTCCTTTGCATTTGTACCTGCTTCTTGCATATCTGAAGCTACTTGGAATCAAATGGGTTTCCATGTTTGCAATCCTGATATGTGCAAATCAGAGAGCAGGTGTAAGATGGAAAGAAAGTACCGCAGTCGTAATTCTGCATAGGTGTGTTTCAGTACCTGGTGACACCAAGTGACATTGAAGGATCATATTGCATCATAGTACAGTATCAAATGGCTCTTCCCAGACAGGTTTTCGTCAGTCAGACTTAGGAGCTCCATGGTAAACTCAGGCCCTTTCTTTCAGTACATCATTATGATAATCTTAATTTAATTTTAAACCTCATTATGAACTTTTTTTTTTGTTCTGCTGTGATTTTGACAAAAAAGTCTCATGTGTGCACACACAAAGCATGCAGAATCCTTGGTCAAATGCCAGAACATTATTTCATTAAAATGACATTAAACATGTAGGAAGCTTTCTAGGTGAGAGAACAAAATGCAGTTTTAAAGACAAGATTGACTGCCTTTTGAATGCTTTACACTTTATACACTGAATTTAATCAACTGCACCCTTATTTCATTGTTCCTGCATGGACTGTGTAAAGGTGAGATAGTCTGTAGCTTCAGTAGGATGGCTAATCCCTCTCATCATCACAGGCAGCATGAAGGCTTTAAGAAAAAACGTCAATATAAAAGTATAGGAATTCCACCCATACTGTGTCCTCATGTGTATTTACTGCATCTGATTCTCAGTCTAATGAAAACTTGCCTTACTTTCACTTCCCAAAGGTAAAACTCAGTGGAATGTGTTTTTTACAGTAAGAAACTGAAGCTTTTTGAGCTCAGTTATTCCTCAGTGTATTGCAAAATTCTTGAGAACATCTTCCTTACTAGTGCCTCCATTTGGAGGCTGACAGTGAGAGAAGATGAAATATATTAATGCTGCTTCTCTAATCTTGGAATATTAAGTATTTCTGATTAATGGCACTGGCTATTATGTGGTCACATGGCTGTGCCTCACACCTTAAGTGCTGGGAAATAAACCATTAATTAATGGTGCCCATCTTTAAGAAATGTTGCAGTTTCTTGTAAGGCAGTGCTGGTTTGTGCACAAGCCTTGCTGGCACACACACCTCTGCATGTTCAATCGATTCACAGAATCTGTTAGCAAGCTGGTCCCTTTGCTAATATAAATTCAGTACTCAGAATGTATTTCAAAAAATCCCTTGCTGCTTTTCAAGGATATTTAAATAAACCTAATAAAGTTGTATTGATGCCTCTGCCTAGGAAATGATAAGATACTTTAGTATTTAATAAATGCTGTAAGATTTTTCTGTGTCAAAGTAATGATTTTTATGGGACTTTTTTTTTTAGTCATCGTGACTCTTCAGAGCAGGATTTCAGTTGAGTTGATTAGGATGTATAATTTTTGCAATGCAGAGGAAGATGTTTTTCACTTCCAGGCACCTGAAAATAACTGAGAGATACTGGGAGGATATGTTCTCCCAGTCTTCTCTAAATGAAGTAACTTTAATGTATTTCTGTCAGTTCATCGGTGTATTAAGTTTTATTTCTTTTAGCTACATTTGTATAAAAACAAGCAGCTAAAAAACCTTCCCAAACTATGTGAGTCTTGATTTCGGCCCCAAGTAAAAGGAAAAAAGCACTATATAAGTAATTAATATTTTATTTTGGGTAATTAAGGCAATGACACAAAATAAAGTGGTTTTTATTTCAGTTTGTGGATTTTTTAAAAGAAACCCCAGAGTGATGGGAACAATGTTTTTTTGGGGTACCAAATTAGATTGAGAGTTGTTTGTCTAAACCATACTCATAATCATTTTCATAAAGCTCTGGAGAAAAAAAGAAATGCTAGAGTGTTGATTTCCTTCAGATTAGAAAAGACAAGCCACGTAACCATTAACAAACTCCCTGAAGTCTGTAGCTGTGATCTATTCCATCATTCACTTACCTTGGAAAAAACCACAGCATGGAGCAAACAGACTGGTTTGCTTTAAGTAACCTCTTGCCTATATGTTTTCATCTGAATTGTAAAGTGTATTCCAGACAGAATAGATCTGTGGGATCTTCACAATTTTTACTGTGCAGATGATTCTGATTTTCTTTATTTTACTGTATTTTTAATGTTTTCCACAGATGAGCTGAGCTCCTGGATACAGCAGTCTTTTAAGCATTATGTTACACAAGAAGCTAAGCAACACTTCAGTGACTATGACAAAGATGGTGATGGACTGGTGTCCTGGAAGGAGTATAACTTGCAAATGTATGATCGTGTAATTGATTTTGATGAGAACACTGTCCTGGAGGACCAAGAAGAAGAATCATTTCGCCAGGTAAAATGTTTCAGCAGCAGCTCCTGTGAGCTGTTGGCCAAAGGCAGCAATATTTGTTTATTGTGACAGAACAAGATGGGTAGAGAAAGCAAAGCAGCTGGCATATGGTTAACATGTTACGCTATCTGAGATAGGGGAGTAATTAAAGGAAAGTAGTGGAGTATTAAAGCTGCTACTGACAAAATAAAGACACAGTGAAATGGTACCTCCTGAGTGTATTTTGCTGGCTGAGTGGAGCATAAGTCTATTGACAGTCTTACAGCAGAGCATGGTCTCCAGCCACCATCTTAAACCCAGGCTGCAATCCATTGGGTGAGGTCTGCAGCCTGACAGGGTCCTGCCCTCAGCAGGGGCCAGCACCAGTGAGGCTGGAGCAGAAGGAGCCTCTTCAACCCCTTGGTTGCACTGTTTCAGCCATTCTTTCAGTTACTGCTCAAGCACTCAGTATGGGCTGTCAGTCTTGCCTGCTGTAACATTGCCTGTCCATTAGAGACCCACAGAGAAAGCACCAGCAATTCAAACAGTTTTAAGCAATGAAAATGCAACTGTCACAGCTAAAAATGGATGTTTAAACACAGAAGTTGTGTGTGAGTCACGTCTATGAAAGCAGATGCTTAAGCAGGGAAGGAAGCAAGAGAGGCAGGGAGAAAAGGTTCACAAGAGCTACCATGTAGCAAAACTTGTTTCCTTTCAAGTTCCCCATTTATAAGTACATGTAAATGTTTCTGAGAAAGACAATATGTGTGGTTTTAGACTATTCCGGCCAGAGGTTTATTTTTTTTCTGTGAGGGTTGCTTTGTCTTCTTTTAGTAAAGTAGTAGTAGATAATATAGGATGTTAACAGAAGTTAAACTATATAGTGAACAGGGGATTTTACACACTGAAGAAACAAACTGTAAAGCTTAGAATGTCACATAACTGAATAATTACGTAGCTCTTAAATACCACGAGGCTTCCCAGAGGAACTTCCAGTCAAAATATTGATTCCATGTTTGAGACATTGCCATCACAGGTACATAGGGAGCTATAAATCTGTAAGCTGGGATAGAACTGCTTGCTCATGTTATGACTTGACTGCTTGCTGCGTTTTCCTGCCTGCTGACTTCTCCAATGTAGATTGTAAGTGAGCAGCATTGTACAAGCATCACAGGTCAGGCACCTTCAGCATTTTCCTTACGTTTTCAAATTAGTGGTCCTGCTCTGATCAAGGTGAAAGATACAGTTTAGAAGTGACATCAGGAGTTTACCAGAAGGTGGCGGCCTTGCTCATCACTTCCCAAAAAACACTGGAAAACTTACTTTCTCCCTCAATGGTTCAAGCTTACATTGCAGTATAGTACTGTCTGTAATTCTTCTGGATTGCCTTCCTAGTTAAACTCCCAGCTAAGGTCAGCTTTTCTCTAAGAGGACATTGAACTATTTTGCAGAATAGTTAAGATCTTACACTTTATTTCTTACATGTTATGCTCTGTGTTCATCAGCTTAGCCTGATTTTGAGAGAAGTGTCAATACTCTCTGGTAGGATATAAACCAGAAGTACAATTTCAAATGGTTATTCGTAAAAAAATGTTTGTGACCTCTGATTTGCTGGCTACTCCCGTACCCAGATCACTCACACTGATAGCACAGCACACTTAAGGATGGGATTCCAAGATTTTTATAGTTCACATGATCTGCAGTTCGAGCAGAGATTGGTTGTCAATGGTGTGTGTCTAAAGAGATTGTACAAAACGAAACAAGAAAAAAATAGGAAATCTTTGCACATCTGGAAGACAGAAATAGGAAGTGCAAGACATTCAGAAATAAGAACTTGCCTGCTTATATCAGATATTATTTATTTTTTAATGGCATGCTAATACATATACTTGAAACGGGTTAGAGAAGTGACTTCTGTTTAAAATGATCTCGTGTAATGGACAGCAGTCCTGTAGTAAAGGAATCTGGCCTTAAAATGGCTTCAGAAAAGACATTTTACATACATATCTTTCAAGACCTTCTCTGAACTACAGACAGCCCTTGATGTAGATCCAGAAAGTTAAGTGTCTTTCAAATGTAAATTTTGGAATTTGCAATGGCTGCCATTAATTATAGTAATTGTACTCCAGTTTATTATTTTAGAAATTGGTGACTTTTAGAAGAGGATGCACATATCAAAATGTGAATTTTTGGTCTTTTCATTATCTCTCTTTGGTTCATTTTAAATGTTTCCTTAAATTGAAAGAAGCAGGGGTTTTTGTGATTCTTAGAATAAAACCACGTCAATTAAAAGTGTTATTCCTATTGCTCTCAGTGAGCTGTTTTTAGTGAAAATTTAACATCAGTATAGTATGAGTAGGTAATGTGAAACAATATCCTAATGAGCTTACAGCCAGCTACTATTATGTTGTTTTTCCATTCCAGTAAGGGCTCTAACTAAATCTATTTTCTAAGCTTCATTTAAAGGAGAAAAAACGTTTTGAGAAAGCTAATAGAGATGATGTTCCTGCTCTAAATGTGGATGAGTATATTGCATTCGAGCATCCCGAAGAGGTGGAGTACATGACGGTAAGATTTAGGGGAGCACCTTTACCAGCCTCTGTGTGTGGGTCTTTTCAATGTGTGTCCTTAGCCTCTGTACCACTGAGGAGGTGGAGCAGTTATGGATATAGTTTGGACAACCCAAATTAAAATCAGGTAATGTCTTGTGGATCCAGTGCTGGAGGCCAGGAGCTGGAGCAGGAGTTCAGTGCTTTCCTTTGAAATCTGTTTCAAGAGCTAGGATTGCACAAGTATCCCCTGCTTTGGGGACTGGACTGACTTAGCCGCCTCTCAGCTTTGTTAGGCTGCAAATCCATCAGTGAGATTTTAGCTTTTGGTTTTGGCTCTCTGGTGGACAAAAGACCAGCCAGTTCTCCTAACAATTCAATTAAGTTGCAAAAATGCAAATTAGTGAATCTACCAGATAAGAAAAGAAAAGTGAAATTGGATGATAGAGCTTTGTACATATTCATGTTTCTTGGCTGCTTTTGCAGTTTTGAAATGTGTTGAAGGATTCCAGCTCTATGGGCACCTTTCAGATTTGGTTTTCATGAAATCTGACATTCTGAACTCTTAAGGACAGATCTGTTTTATTGCACAGGAAGCAATTACTGCACTAGTCTGCATAAAACACAAAAAGAGATTTGAAAGGAGGCAGTCTTTCATTTAAGGAATAGTCATTGCTCTAAAATGATTCAGTGCTGTTTCTCTTGATCACGAGTTGCTAATTTTGCTCTTTGTATGTACACAAAAGGACTTTGTTATTCAGGAGGCTTTAGAAGAACATGATAAAGATGGCGATGGATTTGTTAGCCTGGAAGAATTCCTTGGTGATTACAGAAGAGACCCAAGTAAGGAAAAACGGGAAGGGGCATGAAAGAGGGAAGTAAAAAACTTTTGGAATGCGGAGAATTGGATGCACCTTTATTTTCAGCTTTTCACATTAGACCTACAGATTCTGAGGAAGATTTTCTGCCTTAGAATAATTCTGTTTTCTGAAACTGAGCATAGTAGACTCCTTATTTCAGTCTGCCCCATGTGTATTTGGTGATGGTTTGTGTGTAGCCCATTCCACAGTTTCCTTGCAAGTTGCTTCTTGTTTTCTGAAAGACTGAAATGAATTCCTGACCGCAGAGGATGCAGCTGAAACAAGGTGCAGGCGTATTTGCCAGCTGAACACCTCTGCAGATCCAGCTAGCAGGAATGTAAGGGTAAACTGCCCTGACCTTGATCGGCCTGAGCAGGCAGCTGCCAGCCTTGCTTTGGAAGGACCGAGCTGAGTGTGTTGTGAGAGGGATGGACGGGTAGTGTGAGGAGTCACTTCGCTGTTCCAGCTATCAGAAGCCTGATTGCTGCCTTTACTCTTTTGTTTGTTTGGGTTTGTTTGTTTTCCAACCTTGCCTTTCCTTAAACTTGATCTGTTCCTTCTTTGATGAGAAGGACACTTACCTGATGCTTATCAGTATTTCTCAATGAATATTTTACACACTGTATTTGATTTACTAAAAGCTAGGGCAAATAATTCTACCCATTCCGAAAAGCCCAGTAGCTTCAATTTTGTGGAAAGTCTGCTTGTCCCAAAGGAGTGCTAATTCTGAATTGCATCCTAGCTGTGGAGAATTGTGTAAGCCACATGAGGATATGGAGAACCAGGGGAATAATCTGTTTTTCTTCACTCTAATCAGCCACCTGGAATTTCACGTTTTATAACCATCTTTGTTTGTCAGAGCCAGTAAAAACAACTGATCTCTGATGCAGCTGCAGGGTTCTTTATCTTTTTCCTGCTCTAACATGAAAGAAAGTTTTTCCAAGCCAGTCCTTAAAAAGTTGTTGGAAAGGAGTAAAATTGTTGCAGTAATAGAGAAGATAACAGCTTTGTCATTACAACTTGTTAGCAAGACTTGAGAATCAGCTGTGATTGTACTTCAGCTTTTCTCTCCTGGAGACAGTGTTCCTGCAGCACTCTTTGAAATGACTAATAGGCTGCATGGGGGCTCTGATTCATAATTAGCTCATGATTTGGGGCAACACTGTGTGGTGAATTGTGACATAAAGGGAAAATCTCCTTGCAAAACCAAATGTGAGAAAGGAAGGAGAGACTTCACTTTTTCTTCTTTAATAACAGAATTGTAATTATTTTGAAACTGTTGCTTACCTACTTGTGATACCTGCTACTTTTCATAAGGCTTAGAAAGCCAGTTCATGCTTGTCTGCAGTGTTTATAATTTTGATGAATTACTTCTCAATTCCTTGAAGAGTTAAGGACAAGTCTAAGATTGCTGTAGGCTGCAGGATGCAATACCTGTACATTGGGTAAGGATAAAACAAGAGTGCAAATAAATACTGACAGTAAATGAAATTGCTTTCCCTACTTTCCTCTGCCCATTAAGGTTTGTTTTGGTTAGTGACATCACTTCTAGGTAATGTTTTATGAGAATAAGTGTATTTGCTTAGGAGAAAAGATGAAAACCTCTGCTTTAAAGTGAAGAGTAGCTTTAAACTTTACAATTGTGTCTTACTAGCTGCAAGGGAAGATCCAGAATGGATACTTGTTGAGAAGGACCGGTTTGTGAACGACTATGACAAGGATCATGATGGAAAACTCAACCCTCAAGAGCTGCTGTCTTGGATAGTACCCAACAATCAGGGTATTGCACAAGAGGAGGTTGGTGGTTTGACTGCTGGTTAGGTTTTAATTACTGCAGGAGAATTTTGAAGAATCACAGTGAAATGAGAGAAGCATTCAGATTTATCGTGTCTTAGTTATTGAAAAAAATATATCAGTAGATCTTTGCATGTATTTTTCACTTCTTTTCACTTTGACAAGGAATGCAGGTCCTTTAACTGCATTAGGCAAATGTGAAGTTCCCATTAATTGTGTAAATGTTTGTAAATTAACAAAGTGCTTTTGTACATGTTTAAATAGCTTATCTGCTTTGACTCAAGGGTACAGAATTTTAATAAGTCATTTTTAGTTGTTGTAGGTAAATGTAATGAGATGCACTACCTAAAGAAACTGCATAATTTTGAAATAAGAAATTGATTGTAATTCTTCTAACTGGATAAATCATCATAATTGTAGAACTAAAAACTGGTTTTAAGTACAAGAAAATGGAAGTACTCTGTGATTCAAGATGGTGTAAAGCAAACTTGGATGATGCTAATTAAAATGGTTTAATCAGGGGTAGAACAGCATAATAGCTTTTAAGTGGATTCTCATTTTAGCTTATTTTTTGTGGCAGTTTCCAGTCCCTGACTGCAGTAGAGAGGATTTCTGCCTTTTTTCTAGTAACTTCTCAGCTAAATTTTCCTTGTCTTTGCTTTACCCTGGAGGATTTTGGTGTTCAGAATGGCAGGAACGCCAGATCTTGCCATGGCCTCATGTTCCTGGGGAAGAGAGGCACCTCCCTGTGTCAGACACTCAGACTCACAGCCATGTGCTGCTCCCTGAGCTGCCACCTGTGCCCTGCTGGGCTCTGGGGCTAGGAGCAGCCCTGTGGCAGCAGCAGCAGCAGCCCTGGGTGCTGCCATGTGGGACCTGTGGGATGCTGAGCAGTTCTGGGAGTATTGCTGTAAATGGGGATCTGTGAGCCTTTGCATGGCCTTTTCTGGCTGCGGTCACTTCTTAGTTCACAGAAACAGCACTGTTCTGACGTGAGCTCTGTGTGCTGCTGAGGCTGTTCATACCTGTGGTAGCTTCCTTTGAGGTTTTTTTAGCTCTTCTTAGCAATCTTTCAGATTTTGGCTTACAGCAAGGCCATGCTATAGTAATAGCTCAATTCTGCAACTAATAATTTGTTTTATTTGTTTTTCTAATTTGCTAGTTTTTTCCTTTGGGTAATATAAAGGCTTAGAAAAGTCACCTGTTCTAAAGAGAAAGTAGCATTGATTTCAGTCATAAACTGCTGTTTGAAGTCAGAGTATCACACTTCCATTTCAGCATTTCAAAATCACTTGAGAAACCCAGTAGTTAAATAACATAAAAATAGAAAAATTACTATCTATTCCATCTTCAGGAATTGACATGTGGTGGCCAAGATGTCTGTCATATTAATCTTTCAGCTTTTGCCATGCAGAGTGCTTTTAAAATCCCCTTGGCTGACGTTTGTCCCTGTTATTTTTGGCTCAGTTACATTGAGCCAAACCAATCAGGAAAAGTGGGAACAGAAGGATTCTCTAAATCACAGTATTTGTAGATGCTCAGCAAATGAAAACAAAGCCCATGTAATACCAGGACTCCTATTTCTCAGAAATAAGAGGTGCAGTAGAGCTGCTGCACAGCCTGTTAGCTTTGAGCTATGAAATACTGGTGAATGAGCTACAACTAAAATACTCTGCATTTGGCTCTTCATCTTACTGCTAAACTTCCCTCTATTTATAATATATAAATAAGCAAAAATCAGAATTGTTTTAACTTGGTGCATGTGGTGGTCTGTTTCTTTTACAGGCTCTGCACCTCATTGAAGAGATGGATTTGAATGATGATAAAAAACTTTCTGAAGCAGAAATTCTTAAGAACCAAGATTTGTTTCTTAACAGTGAAGCAACAGATTATGGTAGGCAGCTTCATGATGAACGTTTCTACCATGAAGAACTTTAGATTATTTATTTTGTAATCTTTTTTTCTTCCCTTTCTTTCATTTGAAGCTTTTGTTAAAAGCACTCATCAGCTGCATTGCAAGTTTCATGCTGTAATTACAATACACTAATGTTTGTGTAAATAATTTGCATTCAGAATTAAATTGCCCTCCTGTAAACTTCCTAGGCCTCTTCTAGCCTTCAAAATTAATTTGAAATACTTGCTGTCAAAATTCTGTAGTGTTGGGAAATAAATTACTTCAGGGTAGTACTGTATTGTGAAGAGTTATTCTACTGTACTTGAAGAAAATGGAGAATCTAGATGGTTCTGAAAGAAGGCAAACTATAGTAACTGAGACTACTATTTTTCTAATCAATTAAATTAGGGCAGAGTGTGGGGAAGGTGGGGGGATGTTTAGAGTTAGTATTAACTGTGTTTTGTTTAATACCTTTGGAGAAATACTTGCATAAATGCCTCAGTTGTTTAAGAGGTTTCTACTTGATTTTGAATGGTTTCTATACTGTGTTTTACTCTATCATAAAACTTGCTATTTTTACATCAATAGACAAGAATTATTTTTAATGTACAGTTGTAGAGCGTTAGCAATGCAGTGGTATTTTACTGTGTCGAGACCTTCTTCATTTGTTGGATTAAAACTTAAAATGTTCTATCTTACTGTGTTTTGTACATCTATTTCTCACCTTGGGTCACCCATAGCAGCTCCTGGAGATGTGGGCAATGTGCATAATGTCCAGTGGCAGCATTCTTGCCTTTATTAACCAGAGATTTGTCATCTTATCTGGCTGCTAAAGAAGATTCAGAAAAAAGCAAGGTGTACATTTAGCATTTTCTGGACAAGTTTGCAAAAGCAATTGTGTTTATTTTTTTTATTTGTAGCATATGGAAGGCTAAAGCGTCAAGGCATTACATAAATAATATTTGTAGTAATAACCTCTAAAATTTAACCTCAGCTGAAAGCTCCACAAGTGACTGCTGTCCCATTTTGTGATTATTTGAAATAAGGGTTAATGGCACTATAGGTTCAGTGTAGGAAAGTCCAGATATTCACTTCTGTCTCCTGGAAAGAAATGAGCTGAGTATTCCAGACAAAGACTCACAGAACAGCTTGTGTGGCGTGTGTTAGGGTTTTTTAATTCCTTTATAAATAACTCTTGTAATGCTCTCACAGTGTTCTCCTTGACTAATGTTTTCCTTCCTCCCAGCTCTGTTGGGCAAAAGCAGCTAGTTCTGCCTTGTTTTTTTCCCAGGATACCACCTCTTAATTATGCCCAGAACAAAGGAATTCCTTTTGGGGTAAGTGCTAATGTGTCAGTAGAAGGTTAGAAATTTTGATTCGAAGCAGAACCATGTACACTATATTTTTAGATATCATAGAAATTCAAAACACTTTTTCAATTTTAGTGGCTGAATTTTTTTCTACCCATATTTTTTTAATGTCAGTTCCTTTGGAATATGAGTACAGCTCTTGCCAATAGTGGTGGTGAGATCTGATTTTTAAAAAAATGAAGTCTAATAAATCCAGTGTGCCCAGAAATATTAAACAAAAAAAAATTTGTAAACTGACTGGTGATGTTTCTAAATGAGCACATATGCAGAGTATCAGCTAAAATATGCTGAAGGAAGCTAAAGTGTTGTCTCCCATGATGCTGAACAAATCACTGCTGCTGAAGAAGGGACATTTGGTCCAGAGGCAGACTTGCTGGAGATGATATTTGGGACACAGATCCAAGGGTCCTTTTGAGACACAGAAACCTTCTCAGCAGCACCTGCATTGCCTGCTTGGCTAATGAATGTGCAGTACTTGCAAATGAGTAGTGATTTGCTGTGAATTAAGGCATAGAGAAAGACAGTGTGTTGATAAAGCATTCAAAAGGTGTCAGAGAAATTAAAAACATCTTTCAGAAGTTACCTGAATTTATAACAAGAAGAGGGCGCAAAAACCCAAATAGTTTCATTTTCTTTCACAAAGTACTTTTATTTTTCTCCCAGGAACAGCCCGATCCTGTTTGTGCTATTCAAGGCCCCAGTGACATTGCACTTCTCCACAGTTCCCTTTTTCCTTTGTTTGCCTTTGAAACATCTTCAGGGGTAATGATAGTTTAAACCCATACAGAGCACAAAAAGACCCCACATTTCTATGATACAAACAATTATGTTATATACAAAGTATCACAGTGTTAATTCTAGAGGTAATCTATTCACGTTCTTTATGATTATGGCAGAGGCTGATGATCTTTCTCTTGGGTAAAACAGCAAAACAGGGTCCACCTTTCAGTGATGGCCTCTATCAGAAACTGCTGTGAAATGTTGCATAAGAGGATTTTACTGAAGCAGAAGGCCAGAAGGACTGTCTTGCACTGTGAGACTGCTTTTGGAAGGCTGTTCCAGCAGTTCCCTCAAACAGGAGCAGAGGGAGTTGAGTTTCAGGGCCAAACAGAGCCTGGGGTGGGGTCTGGGCTGTGCTGGAGCAGCCTCCAGCCACAGCCACGATGGCCCAGAGCAGCTGGAACAAACCAAGCCAGGTGTTCAGAGGCTGCAGTTTCAGTTTCCATGGGAACACAGACTGGCTCCTCGCAGAGGGCAAGGTGATTTCAGCATTTTGAATGGGTATGATTTGGGATCATTTGCAAGCCCATGCCTACATGGAAATTCGGATTCGAAGCTCATTCGTATGGAATCAGAGCGGCGGGCACAGCTCAGCAGCTGAATTGTGTCTATTTCAGCCATGGTTCTCCTCTGGCAGTGGTTTCCTTGCCTTTGCTGTCCCCAGGCTGTGGGGCCCAGATGGACACCAGGAGCTGGGCTGTTGGAGTTTGGACATGGCTGCACTGCAGCTGTTGTTTGGAAGCCGTATGTCAGATGTAAGGTTCAGGAGGCTGGGAAGGACTGCACCAGTGCCTTCCAGTCTCCATTGGCATTTCCCAAAGCACCATTCCAAGGGACCACAATGCACCTGAGGAATTCTGACAATTGTCTTCTGCCTTAAAGCTTTTCATGGACTCCCTCATCCTCTTGCTATGTATAGTAAAAGGTCTAGTAAAAGTCAGAAACATTTCCTCTGAAGAATGTCTTGCTTGGCATCCTGGATGAGCACAAAAATGTTTGTAGATGCTATTTTCATATTTTACCTACTGTGAAATCTAAACCTGCCACCCAAATCCCCGATAAAAAGTTTTGCTCAAAGTAGTATATAGTCAAAAATTAAAACCAATTTTTTCTTAAAAAATCAGACTTACCCTGACTTTTTACTACAGAGTGGATTGAAATGGTACATTCTGCTGCCAAACAATTTAATTACTGGGGGGAAAACCCTCAGGAAGTGTGTTCTTGGCACTATGAAACAGAACACCTGATTTTTAACCTCTAAGAGCGGAGGTGGAAGGAGAGGCAGTGGCTGTCAGGGAAGAGTTCCACTTAAGGCTCCTTGTTGACACTGCTGGATTTCCGAGTGAGCCCGTCCAGTCAGGCTGAAATCCTGTTTATGCTGGAACCAGGAACAGTTGGTTGGAACTCCCCAAGGTTGACGCTCGGCAGCCAGCTCGGCTGGAGCGCGGTTTTCTTACATGGCGCTGACGGTCTGCGCGCTTAGTCCTGATTGGCTGAACCCGCCGCCACCCGGCCAGCCAGCCAATGGCTGCTCGCGTCCGCTCCGGCCTAGGCCCGCTCCGCAGCGCTCCGGTTACACAATTGAGGTCGTTGGCTGCCTTTTGGTTATGGCACTGGGGTTATGTGTAACTGTGAGGCCTTCAGGCCAGCTGTTAGCCACCACAGCCTTGGTGTCCTGTTCCTGCTTAGAGCAGAGGGGATACAGAATTGTGTCCCCCGTATAAAGCCCTGCAAAGCCTGGCTACCCCTGCACGGCGCAGCGCCCCATGGACATTACCCAGCGCCACCAGGACCTGGGGCAGGGACCCAAATCAACCCAAATCTGCTTCATCACAGGCAGGGCTGGGACTCACACCAGATACTCTGACAACTCCTCAAAGTACCTGGACTGGAGACCTGCTCTGGGCTGTTTCGAGGAGCTCACCATGGCACAGTGAACTGCCCGTGCTGATGGCGTTGGAGCCAGCATCCCTGGGAGCTGCTGGGAGGTGACTGTGCTGCACCAGAGCTCTTGGGTGGCATGGGTGCTGGCACAGCCCAGCGTGAGGTTCAGTCAAATAATTGGCTTTGTGGTTGGAGGCCAAACTAAAAATAACAGGAAAGTAGTGTAACATTTTAGAGGGCTAAAACACGCTCCGTTTATTTTTATGAACCCCAACAGCAGCAAAGATGGTTTCAAAACACAGCTGTAACTTGGAAATAGTAACAGGAAACATTTGGGTTTGGAAGGACTGAGATAAAACACTCTAAAAAGATCTTTTTATTTTTGGATACAGATCAAGTATGACCAGTGCCCATGCCCTCAAAATACATTTTTTCAAGGAATTTTCCCTTCTGGAAGAAAGCTTCACTCCTTTCTCCTCAACGCTGTCTGCAAGTGAATCCTCACATTTCTCCTCCCACTCTCATGCAATGATGCTTTCTTCCTGCTACACCTCTGACCCTCCAGACTCTCTCTACTTGCACTTCATTTTCCCTCACAGAGTCCCTGCACATTCCCTGTCTTCTTCAGACCATCAGGAAGAAACCTTGCAAAATCTTTTAAACACCAGCTACAGACTGCCCATGGAGTGAGTAGGGGTAACTGCAGCCCGCAGCTCTGCAGAGCTCTGAGCAGAGCCCGAGCCCTGCTGGAGCCCAGGGAAGTTGCAAGACTTCCTCACTCCGGAATGATCTGCCCGGGGCTGCTGCTGGGGGCAGCAGGGAAACAGCAGCGCCCAGAGCAGCGCCAGTCAGTCGGTTGGAAATCAGTAAGTCCTGATGTATTCTTGGTGGGGACAGACAGCTTTTGCATGAGCAACCACCACAGGACTATTTTTCTTTTCCTACACCCCAAAAATGCGAGTGAGTATTTAAAAACAGGTATTTAAGAGTGCTTAAAACATCCTAAGAAGGTGAACAGAGGCAACCTCACCTAGAGGAATTTCTAATCTTCTACTGACACTAGAGGATAGGTGCTTTGGAGAGGGTTTCAGGGAAGCTTTAGAAGTGTTACCCTGTGCTCAGGTATTTGCAGCTGTGTTATAACAACTGGAGGAGCTGATTTGGGGAGCTGCCTGAAATACCTGGTGTCAGCAGTGTGCTGAGTGTGGTCTGAGTGCTGCTGCTTCACTGGTTCTGTGAGGCTTCGCTCAGGTCCTGGTGCTAACAAATTCTTAGCTCTCTTCTTTTTCAAGTCTTTGGATTTTACTTCTGAATTTCACATATCTTGCATATTCATATGAACATTTATGTGAGGGCATGCAAATCAGGAGTGTTCTCAACATTGACATCCAGGTATCTAAATGTGCGCAGACACCTGCACACTTCTCAGGGTTCTTAATTTAAACTGAGTCCTGAAAAGCCTTTCCAGCTGCAAAATGCAGCTTTGAGCTAAGCTTCTCGTGTGCAAGGGCATGGGCCTCTGCCAGCCCCAGAAGGTGCTGCAGAAATGGGGCACCTATGTTTCTTTTGCTTCTTTTTCTTTGCAAGACCACAGCTTTAGAGAATAGCTTGTCTCTGTGTATTGTGCTGGTTTCTTTTGCACTGTAATTGTCCTCTCTC